TATAGGTTCATTGCAAAGAAAACCACGGGCTGCGAGGCAGAGTCTCCATACACGGCGAGGAAGGAAGCATTAAACTTCTCTTTAAATTAAACAAATAAGACTCAACCACTTGGTTCATTATCAGATTCAATGGTTGGAGTCTGCGGGGAAAGCTAAACAGCCGAACCCAGGGTATAAATCACAGACATGCTCAGAGAGACAGGTGAGGCCGAGGGTGTGGTTTCACCTCTCAGCTCAGCCACTGCCAAAGGGATGGTCTCCTTCTCCTTCCCTGGCATGCTCAGCTCCCCTGCCCCAGCTCCCTCCTGCTGCCAAGCTGATGGCAATACCCCAGCCAAGCTGGTCTTGCTCACCCTGAGCTTCAGGGAAGGATTTTATCCTTTTCCCATGCTGTTTCTGGGAGCTGGACTGGTTCAACTGGGCATTTCCAGAGGCAGGAGATGGAGGGAGCTGGCCAGAACCCCTCCCTCTCTGCAAGGCACCCACCTGTGGCTCAGCAGCAGAGTGAGCACAGGATCAGGAGACAGCAAAGCCAATTTAGAAGCCCGTGCTGCCAAAAGGGACCATCCCCCCACCAGCCCCTCCAGCCCCCCAGGGCCTTCCCAGTCATCCAAGTGGAAGATTTAGCAACTCTAACTGCGGGGCAAGATCCAGGAAAGTTTGGGGCTTGGGTACTTTTTTTTTTTTGAAGGGTTAGCTGGAGTCACTCCCCTGCGGCTGCTCCAGCGCTGGATTCCCGCAGCAGGGAAGAGGCAGGAATGTACCTGCCACCTCCTGCAGCAGCGAGTCCTCGATGGAGCTGTAACGTGAAACTGCGCCCAAGGAACTGGGAAGGGGGAAAAAAAAAAAAAATAGAGTCCCACCTGGCTAGAAGAGCTCCAAGACATCTCCTAGGTATGGAAAATGGGAAAACAACCCACCTTACATGATTGTTTTCCCTCCTGTTGAAAGACAGCAGATATTTCTCACACAGAAATAATGACTACGGGCTTAATGGAATTGGCAGGTGGTCTGGATGTACAAGGCTCAATCCCTCGCTGGGCTGAACAAGCATTTCCCCTGAAGTGGTGCCTGTCACTGGAGAACCACCATCCCCACCAGAAAGGGAGAAGTGAGCTAGGGAACACAAGTTGAAAACTCTGACACATTCAGCCCTGGAAGCTGTACTGAGCCATCTACCAAGGAAATCACTGAAAGAACACTCAGCTGAAAAAGTGAACATACACACACAGAGGGAAATTATCTAGTCTAGAAATTCTTGGGCCAGCATAGTCAGAGATCTCCCACCAGCCAGAGTAACACTGCAAAGATGTTTTTGCTGACTTTGCCAAAGACAAACACCATCCCAGAGCAAATGAGGCAGGAAAAGGGGATACACAATAGCAGGGTTTGCTCAGGGAGGCCTCCAGGAGAGCAGAAAGTGAATAGGAAAGGGAAAACACCTGGAGAACCGACCAAGTACTAGCCCAAACAACAAAAAAGGTCCAAATTAACAAAATACATCAAAATAGCAAAAATAGTGGACAGAGAACATAGTTTGGTGCCCAAGTACCAGCTTAAAGAGTCAGGATTACAAAGCAAGCTGCAAATTCCCATTTTTTAGCTCAGTCTCACCCCAGCTGCAGATAGCAACCAGCTCTGAAGATCCCCAGCCCACTGAAATGCCAAAAACCAGGGAACTGACAGCAGACCACTGCAGCGAGGAGGCAGGGCAGAACTCAGCTCAAGGGAGCCACTCACCAGTCAGCAGCTCATAAGCAAGGCAGGAGACAAAAACCTGACTCCGCATACAAAGGGCAAGTTTACAGTGTCAATTAATTTATACAAATGAGACGCTGCCTAACAAAAGAGGAGTTGCCAATTGAAGCAATTCCATAAAAAGCACTACCTGAGATACCCAATCCCAGCAGGTTTGTGGGTGAAAATCTGCTCAGTCTCAGGGCTTCTGGTACTAAACCAAAGGTTTTGAAGCCTCGTGGAAGCTCACCAATAGGTTCACCACATTCCCACGGCATTTTGTATAGGATTATGTGCCAAGACCACAGCACTGCAATGAAACCCCTCAAGAGTCACATCTGTGGACATGGGAACGAGGAAGATGCAGAGCAGGAGGTTTTCCAGCACAGGCTCAAAGGCCTGGAGAAAGAGAGGATCTTGGAGAAGGTGTGAGGTGTGGGTTTGGTGGGTGATATGGGAAATCCAGGTAAAGCTCAGTGCCTTCTTATACACAGAACTAGAAACATTCACATGACCTGCAGGGAACCTTCTTAATACAGCTCATTCTACGTGCACATACAAACACTCAGAGCCAGCCCCTGACCCACAGCTCCTCACACCCAGCCCTGCAAACAACCTGAAATCACAGCAGTCGGTCCTGTACACACCCAGTCACACCAACACCACCAACCCTACAGGAGAAGGTGCTGCTGACTGTTCCACCGCATCAGAAAACAGCTTTAGTCCCAAAATTATTTAATCATCACAGGTTACCCCATTAGTTTTTTTTGCACTGAGACTTTGTTGGTCTTGCAGTTCATGGTAGTGCCTCATCTTGAGCACCTAGCAATTACTGCCCTGGTTGTGGCACACCTGAGGCCTCATCAGGCAGAGCAGATCGGCTGTGGGACAGGCAGAGGGGGATTTATGAGATGCTGGACCCTGACGTGGCTGTGCACTCACAATCCATTGCTTTGCTTCCCCATTTCCACATCTGCAGAAGCAGTCTTTAAACAAGCCAGGGTATTTTTAAGCTCTGACAGTTAAAATCCTCAAGTGACATCACCTGAAGTCAGAGCACAGCTGCCTTATTCCTCTGGCACACCAGCAAGCCAAAGTAAGCAGGAGCCTCATTTATGGGCTTACAGCACACCTTGAGATAATGAAAGCACTGGTGGGACTTGCCCTGCACAGTCAGGCTTCTCCTTGCAAGGCTTTTTTCCACCCCCTCCTCAGTTTTGGGGTAAAACCCAAAAATTTTAGCACCAGAACAGCCCAGTGATCCAACAGGGTGCACATGGTGGGGGCCAGCCCAAACCCCACTGGCACTATCCCAGGGTTTGGGGGCAAAGAAGCAGAGAAAAAGGATGAAAAATCCCCAAGACTGCATGAAGGATGGCAAAACCCAACTCCTCAAGCTACTTCCCATGGTGTACCCAGCCACACTTCACCTTGCACACATGGGCACTCAAAGCAGCTTAAGGGTGTAAATCACATTAATCCACGCAACAAAGCCACATCCCGCTCATCCTTGGCTGAGTTACTAATCCCTCCACACCGCAGGTTCCCATCTCACTTCCTACCCCTTGAGGAGGAAAAAAAAATACCTTTTAACACGATAGGTAACTCAGTGGATCCTGCCTTCTATCTTCTAGCTTTCAACAGCTTTGAGCAACAGTCTCCCCACAACCCTGAGGATTTTCTGGGATGCAGACCAAGCCAGTCAGAGGCTTCCCTCTTCTTATGGAAAGGGGAATACAGGTCAAAAATATTTATTTCTTTTTAATCACTCCATTACCAAGTCCTCCCCACAAGACAGGCTTGCAGCTGCTTTGAAAAAGCAAGGTTTGGTTTCAATGTGTTCGACTCACGCTCTCGACACCTATTTTAATTTGGTGGAACAAAAGCATGCTGGCAGTAATTAAGGCAAATAATATCAAGTTGAACAGAAAAGCATTAAGAAATAGTGCTGGGAAACGTTCACTGTGAATTTTTGGAATATATAAGGAGCTGGCTGTCGCCCACAGGAACCGCTACCACAAAAGCACTTTTTCTCCTTAAAGCAGCTACGGGCAGGCTGTACATCCCATAAATCCCAACTGTCAAAACACCCTGGTTGTGGGAGATGAGGAGAAAAGCAAACGGGCTCCACACAGCTCGGCCCCAGGGTTACCTGCTTTGTTCAAGGAAAGCACCGGGCCACGAAGGATAAAGCCCCAAAGCTTCCACGCTGCCCGTAACCTCGGTGACCGTGGCTGGTGTTTGGGTTAGTAAATTGTATTTCTGGTGCATGTGTGAAAGACACAACTCACTGAGTAAACAGCCCTTCAGAGCTGACAGCTTTACAGCCACAGGCTCTGCGCGACTACTCCTTCCCAGAGGCAGCAAAGCAGTTGGGGAAAGCAGTAAAATAATAATTAAAAAGAAAAAGCTACATAAAGCCATCACATTTACCCTTTCATCAACCCTTTACACAGTTACGAGGCAGGAGCAAAATAAATATTGCCTGTTTGCTGCCCGACAGTATGTCACGGCTGAAAAACACATCCCTTTTGGTTTAAAAAACATCATTATTGGAAGCATGGGAGAGACGACTGGAAAGTTCTTCCATTAGAAGTCAGGAACTATGTAATTTATATTTGTTTTTGGCAAAGAGACAGATAAAGCAAGGAAAAGTAATTTAAAATTCACGAATCGCGTGGCTTTAAGAAGGTAGGCAGCTTAATGCAATAAAAATAATAATAACAGAGATAAGATGTCAGGATGCTTTACAGCCAGAGACCTCAGGCATCACACACCACCTCCTGCCTTAGGGACTGACTTTCCACCGCTCTAATTGCAGAGAAAAGTGACCTTACAGGTTAAAAACATTGAGATTAACCATTTTAAGGCGGTTAAGAGGCTGACGCGACCCCAAACCCATCCCCTACGGCACCCCCTTCAAGCAGAGCAGCGTTTAAATGACAAATAGAGTGGAGTGGAGGCGCGTTCCCTGCGAAATGAGACCATAAATCAGCGCCGGGCAGCTCGGCGGGCTCGGAGGGCTCGTCCCGCTGGCCGGAGCGCCGTGCACCGGCTCAGCCCCGCGCACCGCGGGCACCGAGCGGAGCCGGCCGAGCCCGGCGCGGTGACAGCCGCCGCCACCTGCGGCCGCCCGGGCCGCGCTCGCCCCTCACGGGGGAGCCGCGCTCGCCCCTCACGGAGGAGCCCCGCTCGCCCCTCCCGGCGCGCGCCCGCCCGCGCCCCCCTCAGCGCGCGCCGGCGGCGGGAAGCGCGCGCGTTACCTCTCCGCCGCGCCCCCTCCCTGGTCCCGGTCCTGGTGCCGGTGCCGCTCGGCGGCGGCTCGCCAGGACATTCCAGGCTGGGGCGGGCGTCCCGGCGGGCGGGAGCCTCCATCCAGCGCCGCCCGGCCGCTCGGCGCCGCTTATCTCCCCCCGCCCTGCGCTCCCCGCCCCGCTCCCACCGGCGCCCCGTGTCGGGGGAGGCGCCGCCGCCCCGCCCCGCCCCGCGGAGCGAACCAACGCCGGCCTGGGGGGAGCACGGGCGCCCCGCGGGCGGACCCACCGCCCGGGGAGGGGAGGCAGCGGGCGGCGGTCAGCGCGGCCCGAGCGTGCGGCGAGCGGGGCGCTGCGGGCCCTTTAAGGGGAGCGGGAGGGGCGGAGGGGATGCACGTGCGCTGCCGGGCAGAGCTCGGCCGGGAGACCGCGGCACCGAACCGCCGGGACCCGCGGCTCCGAACCGCCGGGACCCGGCATCCGTGCGAGCCGGGACCCGCGGCTCCGAACCGCCGGGACCCGCGGCTCCGAACCGCCGGGACCCGCCGCACCGAACCGCCCGGACCCGGCATCGGTGTTAACCGGGAGCCGCGGCTCCGGACCGCCGGGACCCGCGGCACCGAACCGCCGGGACCCGCGGCTCCGAACCGCCCGGACCCGGCATCCGTGCGAGCCGGGACCCGCGGCACCGGACCGCCGGGACCCGCGGCACCGGACCGCCGGGACCCGCGGCTCCGAACCGCCGGGACCCGCGGCTCCGAACCGCCGGGACCCGCGGCTCCGAACCGCCGGGACCCGCGGCTCCGAACCGCCGGGATCCGCGGCTCCGAACCGCCCCGGCATCCGTGCGAGCCGGGACCCGCGGCTCCGAACCGCCGGGACCCGCGGCTCCGAACCGCCCCGGCATCCGTGTTAACCGGGACCCGCAGCACCGAACCGCCGGGACCCGGCATCCGTGTTAACCGGGACCCGCAGCACCGTGGCCCCGCACAGCAGGTGCTCTGGGCAGGCAGGGACCGGGCACCGAGCGGCCGCGGTGCCCACGTGTGCGGTACCGGGCACCGAGCGGCCGGGCTGCCCACGTGTGCGGTACCGGGCACCGAGCGGCCGCGCTCCCGCGGGACCGGCGCTGGGCAGCCGCAGAGCCGCGCTCCCGTGCGCTCCCGCACCCACGCGAGTTCGTCACCTGTGCGTGACAGTCGCCCACAGTCTCCGAGCACCGCGGGGCCTCTCACCTGTGCGGCCTCCCGGGAGCCTCTGCCGGGGCAGCGGGCATCCCGTGCCCGCTCGCTTCCACGCGGGAGCCCACGGTTCCCACTCCGGCTCTCCTGCCAGCGTACACTCTGTATGCTCTGGAGCGAGGGAGTGGCTCTCGCCTTCTCCAAAGGGTGGGAAATGCCCCCACACATGCTCCATGCATCATCCTTCTCCAGATGACGCTACCAAGAACCCCGTACTCGGGCTAAAAATAGCAAAAAGGGGCTTTATCAAGGGCTCATACTGTGCCCAAACCATTGACCCCTTCCAAAAGAACCCAAATGCACCCAAAATATGCCCTAAATGCCTTGTTTTTTGCTTTTTTTTTTTTTTTAATTCACTCTTTTGGTCGCACTCACAAGTGGTAGCTGGAAAGGGATTTATCCCAAAGAGTTTCACCTGGAAAGGTTTCAGCACCGCATGGACTGCAAAGAAACACAGATGCTATGTTTAAAAATAAAGAAAAAATAAGCTTAACCCCCCCGCTAAAAAAACTAGACTTGAAATAAAATCTCATGGTTTTCAGACAAACCTGTGAGACCAAAATGCTGCACTGCCCTGTGTTTACCAGCCCTAATTTTATCCCTCAGGAGATTTCCTGTAGGACGTCATTATTTCCATAAGTGTGAAAGGGGAAAAAAAAAAAAAAGAAAGAAAATGAAGAGTAGAAAAATCCTCAGCAGATTAAAAATCCCATAATCTGAAGAAAACACCCCAAAATAAACAAAATCGGGGTTGGCACAGCTGAGGATTTAAATGACTTGATTTATGGCAGCCGCTGGAAAAGATGAGGGCTTCAGGATTGTTCTCAGCACAGAAGAGACGGCCAAGTCTGGTTTTTTGGTATAAAAATACTCAAAATGGGGATCATAATGAAGGTGTTTTGCCGACCAGGGGCAGTGCCAAATTGCAATTTCTCCCTGTACAATTTTTGGGTCGATGTTTTCCCCTCCTTGAGCTCATTTGCATGAGAATACCCTCTTGGGCAGGAGAATTGCTGCTTAATTAGCGAACAGCAATCACTTTAATTAGCATGTCTCCATGCTCCCTACTATTTTGCATAGATTCAAATGAGATGCTCATTAAGGAGCAGGCGCCCGGACAAGCTACGCCCTTTAGCCGCTCACTAACCCAATTAACTTCAGCCAAACCGTGCCGGGCCCTGTGCCAGGAGGGATGGAGCTGCTCCAGAAGCAGAGTGCAGAACTTCTCCCTTCAACCTGCCCACTTCCTCCAAACCTGTGAGGATTCCTTCCTTGGAAGGCTTTTCTCCTTCAACGTTTTCCTTCTTGCAAGATTTCCTTCCTTGTCAAAGGTTTTCCTTCTTGTAAAATTTTCCTTCGTACAAGGCTTTTCCTACATTGAAAGTTTTCCTTCCTTGAAATTATTTCTTCCTTCAAGTATTTCCTTCCTTGCAAGATCTCCTTCCTTGCCTGAGAGTTTCCTCATTGCAAGGTTTCATTTCCTTTTGAGATTTTCCTTCTTTGTGATATTTCCCCCCACCCAAAGTTTATCCTCCATGTAAAGTTTTCCTCCTTGCACAGTTTTCTTCCTTGGATGTTTCCCTCCTTTCAAGTTTTCCTGCTTGAGAAGTTTCCTTCCTCACAAGCTTTCTCCTCCTCATAAGTTTTACTTCCTTGCAAGTTTTTCCTCCTTTTCCTTGCTTGCTCAGCGCTAGGATTTGAGAGCAGAAATGGGGGTGACACCCCCAAAAATCCACCTTCCCTCCTTGTGGGTCCTCAAGCCCTCTCCGTGCCCCTTCCCCCCGCCCAGGTGGGGCCATCATTCCTGGCAGGAGCACGAGGGGAATTTGAGGCTCCCCTTTGTTTTTCCGCCCAGCCAGCGTGGTCTTAGCGAGGTTGGGTTTTATTTTATTTCATTTCTCCTGCCCGTAATCCCATCGTCTTGTCACGGTTCCCCGGGAAGCGGGGCTGCTCCGAACAAAGCCCCCGGAGCATCCCGGGCTCCCGGAGGGGGTTTTGCAGCTGCGCCTCGGAGCGTGACCGATCGGGAATGAGCCTTCGCAGCGCGTCTAATGCCGCTTGGACAGGGAGCCTTTCATCCACTCGTGGGAGTGAGGCCCCGGCATTGAGCCGCCCGCTGCCCGCGGCCCGGCCCTCGGTGCTCCGGGCCCCGCGGGAGCCGCTCGGCTTTGGGGGAGCCAGGCCGAGCCCCCCGGGCTCGCCTCCGCTGCTGCAGCTCAGGGTGGAGGGGCTGAGGATGGGAGATGCTCCCCACCGCCATGCTGGGCTCCACTGGGCTCCTTGTGGTCCCCTGGTTTCCATCCCCAGCAGTGCCACATCCCAGTTCCCACCTCCACATCCTCAGCAGCTTCCTTGGCCTACTTCTCGTCATCCCATCCCTGGCAGGCACCTCCTTCCCGTTCCCATTCTCCTGACCCCAGCATGTACCTCGTCCAGGTCCCACCATCCCATCCCTGGCAGGCACCTCCTTCCCGTTCCCATTCTCCTGACCCCAGCATGTACCTCGTCCAGGTCCCACCATCCCATCCCTGGCAGGCACCTCCTTCCTGTTCCCATTCTCCTGACCCCAGCATGTACCTCGTCCAGGTCCCACCATCCCATCCCTGACAGGCACCTCCTTCCCATTCCCATTCTCCTGACCCCAGCATGTACCTCGTCCAGGTCCCATCATCCCATCCCTGACAGGCACCTCCTTCCCATTCTCCTGACCCCAGCATGTACCTCGTCCAAATCCCATCATCCCAGCCCTGGCAGGCACCTCCTTCCCGTTCCCGTTCTCCTGACCCCAGCATGTACCTCGTCCAGGTCCCATCATCCCAGCCCTGTCCCCGTCAGATCACTCATCCCAGTCCCCATCATCTGTCCCTGTCCCCATCATCACATCCCTTGTCCTTGTGCCATCCTCCTGGCCCAGATCCCAGCTGGTTCTTGTCCCATATCCCCTGTCCCAGTCCCATGTCCCTTGTCCCAGTCCCTGTGTCTCTCCACAGGGCCAGCCCAACACCCCGGTGCCCTTTGGCATCCAGGGATCTCCATCGAGGGAAGGTTTGAGGTCCTTTTTGGGAAGGGGGCAGCTGGTGTCAGCCTGGTGCCCCCCACCCTTGGCAGTGCAGGTGGCATTGGGTGGCATCAGCTGCTGAATGTGCCCTGCAGCGTGGCAGGGCTGTGTGTGAGGGGCAGTCTTGGGATTTCCACTCCAAGGGAATGGATCAGGAACAGGAGAAAAAGGCTGGAGGGGTGTTGGGATGGAGCACATATGGAAACATCACCTGGGAAGGGAAGATGAAGATGAGGAGTTGAGAAGAGACAAGATGAAAATGATGAGGATAGAAGAGACAAGATGAAACAACAGGAGAGGGAAAGAGGAGGAGGAGAAGGACTAAAGGGAGAGGAGAGGAGAGGAGAGGAGAGGAGAGGAGAGGAGAGGAGAGGAGAGGAGAGGAGAGGAGAGGAGAGGAGAGGAGAGGAGAGGAGAGGAGAGGAGAGGAGAGGAGAGGAGAGGAGAGGAGAGGAGAGGAGAGGAGAGGAGAGGAGAGGAGAGGAGAGGAGAGGAGAGGAGAGGAGAGGAGAGGAGAGGAGAGGAGAGGAGAGGAGAGGAGAGGAGAGGAGAGGAGAGGAGAGGAGAGGAGAGGAGAGGAGAGGAGAGGAGAGGAGAGGAGAGGAGAGGAGAGGAGAGGAGACATAGAGGACGAGAGATGTTGCCTCTAAAGAAGCCCCATATCCCAATGAGCTTTGCCAACCCATCACTTCGTGCATTGGTCAGGGGGGTTTGTTGGTTTATTTTCCCCGCAGTGAAAAGTGGCTTTTTGACCCAAATGTATGTTTTCATAGTAAAGAATTTTTTTTGGCTGAAAGGGTTTTTATTCCTTATTAAAAAGAAAATTGGAGAGGTTAGTGGGAAGGGTCACTTCTGTAAAACATCTTTTTTTTCTTAAGAAAGCC